ACAGACGCAACTTCGCTTCCGGGCCGAGTAGAGCTTAGCTGCGGCAGCTTTCATGTTATTACGGTGGAGCTGTTGTAACGGCCGTGAATTTAAGGCTAGCCGTCAACCTCGAAACGGTTTGTCAGCGAGGCAGTTGAAATCTGAACGTGCAGACGACCGTTATCCTCATGCCTGTAGAGGCTGATGTAGCTTTCCGTTTTTTACTCTTGCGCGTGAGTGGCAGCCAGTCAGAGATCCAAATAACCATTTAGCTGAGCAATTTAGAACAGTTCCAGGCTCAAAGAAAAAATCATCAGGATGTCGTACATGGAACTGGTACCATCCTGGCAGTAACTTACTGGCGTTATAACCAGGACCGGACCGAAGGCCGTATTGCATTCGGCAGGTGACAAGAACTTTATTCAGTATGTACAGATGGCAGAAATTCTTCAGCTGCCCCCCCCCTCTCCCACGCGATTCACAGCATTACAGTGTTCATAATCTGTACAGCAATCTTCACTGAACATCACTTGGCATTGTTATTTCTGGGATGCCTGCATGTATAACTTCCTTGAACAGCGTTGGAGCGTGGTAAATGGATAAATGTTAAGCTACTACTGTCTAGATTTAAATGAATATTGGGTTGTAAAAATGAATGAAAGAATTACTGTATGGTTTTATTATATAAGTTGTCCACCCCCCCCCTCCCCGGGATCACGTTCCGAACGCACGACCGATTGAATTAACAGACGTAGTTTCTGTCTTCTGCGACTCACCTGAGAAACTACAGGTGGACGTCAAAAATTACAAACTGCGTTCCACTGGAGCAGCAGCTTCTGTAGACTATGACTGTTTATATACAGATATATTATGTAGATATATTTTTTTCGGCTCATCCTACCATCGGTTTTACTTCGGACCGTTTATCGGGCTCTTCTTGCAACGTGTCCTGCCATTAACTTCTTCATTCAGGCGACGACAGCGCACACATGTCTATGTCCTTATCCATTTATTCGTTTCCTATCTATTCATTTAATTTCCAACATATCTTGGCACGCTGCGTTGCCTTTACTATAGTGTATGCATAACTTTCAGGTTTAGGATTTACGCTGTCCATCCATAGTTTAACACTGAGAGCAAACGCTGATTAAAACTTTGTTTCAAACACAAAGGCAGTTTCCTGGACAATGGCATTTTCGATCTTGCAAAATTGCTTCATTCCATTTTCATTCTTAAGCTGATTTTGCATAATCGGTGAGCCCTAGCCCTCGCAGATAGATTTATTTTTCAATTTCTTCAAGCCTAAGTGCGTTGATTTCAAGAGGTTTCTCGGTATTTATTGTGAACATGACCTAAGTCTCCTTCACGTTCGTTTCAGTCTAACTTTGATGCCGATATCGTTCAGCTATTGGATTCTTTGCTGGAATTTTTCTAGTGACCTTGACAAGATCAAAATATCCTAATTAGTGTTCTGAACAATCTGTCAATAAAGTCAGAGTTCCATACTTAAATGAGCTAAAGTAGCATGTAAATATAGCATCGACTAACATTTCAGCAATCACTGATAAATTGGTATGACAGTGTACATATAATGCACAAGTTGATAACAAGCAAGATATATAATAAGCAAGGAATGGAAAACAGGAGACGAATTGGTGAATCTAAGGTTAATGCAGATAAATATCTAAATATATAAGTTAACACGAAATGGACGGTTCGAACAGATTCCACCTTTCTCGTTTATCTTTCCGTAAAGTTCGAGTGTCAGATTTTTTGCCAAGTTTATGTTTGTTTGAACAGACTTTCTATGGAAGCTGAACACTGCTGGTTGACGAAGCGCTACCTCTCACAATACCTTAACTTTGACTAGGACATTAGCGTATTTCGCTTTAGCGGTGCAATTCATTCAGCAAATTATGGGCTTTGCAGTCGAAAGATCACATCAGATTCTGTGACTTCCAGCATATCGTCCCCGCATTTATAAGTTTCTTTTTTCGCATATGATCTTGTTCTCTCCAGATTCTTCTTCTGTCCGTGTCCTTAGTGGGGAAGGGGGCATCAACTGAAATACTGGGTCACATAGCAGGAAAGGAACAAATAAATTTGTAACCTTTTAGAAGTCAGCCTCACACCGTTCTTTGTGATAGAGCTTATAATTCAGCGCTGATATCTGTTGCTACGCCTTAAGCAGAATATCATACTGTTGGATGGCAGTGCATAGAATCTTCTGTTTCCTTCTCAAGGTAGTACTCGCAGTCGCAACAAAACATCGATATGGTGGAACATATGCCTTCTTAATCCGACCATGATCACCGAAACGATAAGTTAATGAGGCTATGATAACTGGACTTCATTGTACTCGTTATATCGTTTAGGCAGATATGTGCAGGAGAAGGTAACTCAGAGGGATTTAAGCTATCGTCCTTACTAACTCCTGAAGAAAACACGTGAAAGTTTTATTTTCTCGCCTTACGTCTACCGTCCATAGCAAATCATAGCTCTCATTTGCATGAAGGTTGCAAGATTTATCGAAAAGAATCTTAATGGAAAAGGAAAGTTCTTGGTAACCGTTGTAATGTCGGTTCTCGTTACACTGTATTGATGGGGCTGTTTCTGGCGCCATTCGTTTCATGAAATTAATGGGCGAGGTAGGAAAGAAAGGACAGTGTTCTCTATTTCGGTTCTCTCGGCCAAGAATGCGTTATTTTTTCAAGGGCAGCCATATGACAAGCATAGTGTGTAGTCTCCTGTTTCCTTCCCATGGATTGGACTCATTTATCAGCCTGGGAAGGAAGAAATGCGAGTGATGTGACTCGGGGCTCGAACCCAGGACCTCTCGGTTCTGAGTCAGACGGTCTACTGAACGAGCAATTTGTACTTGATAAATAATATCAGAAAATGGAAAGAGTAAAATCCTTTATTAATTATGTGATCAACTCTGAAATTCAGACGTTAAAGCATTTTTCGAACTTTTTCGTAATGGTCTCATGGCTTTAAACAGAATGTTACGTTTCCATGTCATATGATACTGAATTTCTCGTTGATTTGAAGTTCCGTATATGGACTAAATTTTACAATCTAATTTGCGTTTAATTAGTTAAACAGTCTTCTATATATCAATGATGTTCCTATCGAAATACTTTGAATTAATGATTTGTAGCCACCTAACAGAGCAACAGAAGCTGTGCCGATGTGGGGCTGGTGGTGACAGTGGCCAATCCGTAAAATATCATGGCTCTTTTCCGGAAATTTCGGTCGTTGTTAAGCGCTTGCCCTGCAGGTAATGTTTTGTGCAATGATATCTTTAGTAATAAAATGCAGCATCGATATTTCGGATAAAACTAAAAATTGTTATCTGAAAATCTATTATCTACATTACTGTTCGCGTAGTCTAGTCATCTTCATTATGAATACAGTTGTAATTTTGTTTATAAATGTAGTCATGGTCGCGATCATGACATGGAAGGAAAGATTAATTAGCTGATTAATCCCTACTGAAGGTGTTTCTTCTGATCAGTCGTCATAATCGTGATGTATGTACCGCGAGTGAATAATAATAGGTTAATGTCTTTACAGTAATAGGTTAATAATAAACATCATCCTAGTCGTCTCTACTATTGTAATCATTATGAAAATTACGATATACTTAAGAACAAACCCGATCTTATGGGTTTACTAGCACGTTGCCATTT